AGAAGGAAGGAAGCATAGACAGACGCTGGACACACAGGGAGAAGTCGGGTGGCCTGGGGGACCCCGGCTGCAGTGAGGGCCATGTGGCCCGAGGTGGGCGTCTGAGTGGCCGCAGGGGCAGCCCCGGTCCCTGTCCCCCCACCTGCTGCCCGTGGGCCCCTCCAGTCCAGGCCGCAGGCCGGGCCAGGATGGCTGACTCCTGCAGGAACCTCACCTACGTGCGGGACTCAGTGGGCCCGGCCACGAGCACCCTGATGTTTGTGGCCGGGGTCGTGGGCAACGGGCTGGCGCTGGGCATCCTGGGCGCTCGGCGGCGGTCACGCCCATCCGCCTTCGCGGTGCTGGTCACTGGGTTGGCGGTCACGGACCTGCTGGGCACTTGTTTCCTGAGCCCAGCCGTGTTCGTGGCCTACGCCCGCAACAGCTCACTGCTGGGCCTGGCCCGGGGCCGCCCGGTGCTGTGCGACGCCTTCGCGTTCGCCATGACCTTCTTCGGCCTGGCCTCCACGCTCATCCTCTTCGCCATGGCCGTGGAGCGCTGCCTGGCGCTCAGCCACCCGTATCTCTACGCCCAGCTGGACGCGCCGCGCTGCGCGCGCCTGGCGCTGCCCGCGGTCTACGCCTTCTGCACCCTCTTCTGCTCCTTGCCCCTGCTGGGCCTGGGCCAGCACCAGCAGTATTGCCCCGGGAGCTGGTGCTTCATCCGCCTGCGCTCGGCCGAGCTGGGGGGCTGCGCCTTCTCCCTGGCTTACGCCAGCCTCGTGGCCCTGCTGGTGGCCGCCATCATCCTCTGCAACGGCTCCGTCACCCTCAGCCTCTGCCGCATGTACCGCCAGCAGAGGCGACAGCAGGGCTCGCTGGTCCCGGGCCCCCGGAGGGGCGAGGGGGAGGTTGACCACCTGATTCTGCTGGCTCTCATGACGGTCATCATGGCTGTGTGTTCCCTGCCTCTCACGGTGAGTCCGGTCTGCAGCTGGGGCGGGCGGTGGGGGGAGGGCGGCGCCCAGCCCTGTCCACCACGGGTTTGTGTCCATTTCGTGGATGGGGAATCTGAGACTTACAGAGGTCAGAGGCTTTGGCCACTGTCAAACAACCCCCGACTTTTCGGAGGCATCTCTCCCCAGTTGCTTCTGTCCCATTTGACTCCTCCTGACCCCTTGGGTAGCCCCCGACATCTCCAGCCCGGCCCCCCACTCAAATGCATGCTCCACCTTCCCTTACCCCTTAATGAGAATAAGATCCGCTAATCATCCAGCCCTGGCTCTGTTTTCGCCTGTGCTCAGTGGTTTGCAAACCCCTTTCCAGAGATCTTCAAAATGACCCATGTACCTATTCCGTAAGCATTTACCAAGAAACAAGACAGAAGTGCCTGTCTCGTCACCATTTTTACAGATGAGGGGCAGTGTCTCTTGCCCACGATCGCACAGAGTCAAGTCTGGACACGGGGCTCCTTTAATTTCAGTCCCACAGCACCCCCCCATTTCTGCCAAGTTCCCCACCCCCAGCCTCACCCTCTGTCTGCCTGGGGACTCTCCCCGCCTCCCCCGTCTCCTGCAGGAGCCCGGGATTGAAGCAGGGCAGACCCTGGCCCTCTGGCACCCGGTCATCCCACCTGCACGCTGGGCCTCGGTTTCTCTTTCTGTAAAATGCGAGACTGGGCTGGATTGGAGGGCTGTCAAAACCTTAGGGGGTTACGATGACTCAGGGACTGGAAGCTGTGGACAGATGCACTCAGGCACAGCCCCGCGACCCACCCATCTCTCCCTCTAGGCCTCTGCTGGCTATTTCCTGGAGCTTTCTATCTGTCTGATCTCCCGGTGCATATATTTCTTAGTTTTCATCTTATTTCCTTCCTTTTCTGCCAGGCCACCCCACCCTTATGTGCGCAGTGAGCAAGTGGGTGGAGGGGAGCGAGGGCGGGGTTGGGGTGATTTTTGACACCCTCGCTGTGCCCTCAGATCCGCGGCTTCACCCAGGCCATCACCCCTGACACCAGTGAGATGGGGGATCTCCTAGCCTTCCGTTTCAACGCCTTCAACCCCATCCTGGACCCCTGGGTCTTCATTCTTTTCCGCAAGGCTGTCTTCCAGCGCCTCAAGCTCTGGTTCTGCTGTTGCCTCTGCCCCGGGCCTGCCCGTGGCCACTCGCAAACACCCCTGAGCCAGCCTGCCTCAGAGAGGAAGGACTCAAGGGCCCCTGCCGCTCTCGGGGGGAAGGAGGGGAACTGGGTGCCTTTGTCAGCCTGGGGTGAGGCGCAGGGGGCCCCCCTGCCTGTGGCACAGAGAGCTGGCAGCAGCACCGTGGAAACGACGTCCAAAGTGGGGTCCGCGGCAGCCTGCTCCCTCTGCTGACATCTCAGGCTGCCCTGTCTTCCGGAAGCAGGACCTGGACTGTCACGGCCATGGCCAATGGCTGCAGGTGGACAAGCAGAGAGGTGAATGCTGGAGCCCTGACCTGCCAGAACCTTGACCTCCCCCCTGACCGCAGGGGACGATCAGCTGCTATTTCTCCTCCTCGGGGGTTGCCACAACAGGCTCTGGGACGAGAGGGAGGGCAAGAGGGAACGTTTATCCTGGAGCACGAGAGGAACAGTTTTCTCAAAATAACCAGTGGCCTGGCCGGCCTGCTCCGGCCCTCGCGATGGCCATCCATCTCACTGTCTAAATATTTAGAAGGCGGAAAAGTTTCTCGCAGCTCCTGTGCACTCAGGTCTGCTGGGGTTGGCGTTCCCCCACCGATCCTCATCTGTTCACGGTGTCCCAGCTGCCCCCCCAAAATCCCCAGGGGATGGTCCTGCCGTCTCCCAGGCCGCTCCAAGAGCCAGGGCCTTTCTGCCTCCCCTTGCTTCCGACTCCTCATCAAACTTGGGGAGCCCCGGCCTCCCCAGGAGAGGCAGGAAGAGGGGGAGATGCTACGTTGCGGTGACATCGCTGGGCATGTGTCTAGGAAGGTTGGCGTGGCTTGGCAGTTGTAAGAGGCAGACTGGGGGGAACACTGGTGTGTGTGTGGGGGGCACAAACCCTGCGAACCCCAGGGGTGGTCCAAGAAGCCAAACCTAAGTCCTGTGCCTGTCCCTGAATAAATAGCTGCTCCCAACAGAGCCGGACCTCACCTTATGTATCCTTGGAGCCCTCACAAAAATTTCATTCATTCATTCATTCATTCATTCAACAAATAGTGTGTGCTGACTCTGCCCGGTGCTGGGGACACAGACCAGTCTCTGCCCCACCCTGGACTCTGCTGGGTGATTTCCAGCCTTCCGCCCCTCCCCCACTTGCCCTCCTTTGCCCTCAGAGAGGCCCAGAATCAAGGGCGTTCTGGGGTGTTCGCTTTGGGTTGTGGGAGGGCGAATGAGAAAGCATCCCCCCCACCCCCGCCAGCCCCAGTTTCTCTTTTTCACTTGCTCCTGGGTTCAATGAATAACTCCACACCTGGGGAAGGATGGCGGGACATGGCCAGAGAGCCTGCTACAGCAGCTAACGTCCGTGAGCCCTCCTCCGTGGAGGCGAGTCCTCTCCCCACAGCCTGCTCTTACTGCTTATCTGCAGAGGCCGGAATCTGGGGGAGCCCAGAGCGGGCAATCACCAGCCCCAGGTCACAGCCTGCAGGTGGAGCTGGTCCCTCTCTGGAGCCCAGCTCACTCGTTGGGCTGGCGACTGCCTCTCTGTACCCTGGCTTTCTTCTGTGGAGAAGGGCCGTGGTAACCTAGCGCTTAGCTTGCAGGGTTGTGCTGAGATGTCATGATTCGCCCTGGGAAGCCGGTTAGCACAGGGCCTGGGAGTAGAGGCTACAGCAAACGGTACCGTTATTGCCACCGCATTGGTTGTTCCTATTGTTGTCTTGGCTGTCTGGGCAAACGCGGCTTGACGACAAAGCAGTGCTTTGCTCCATCGTTCTTGGACTTCCCCGCCCCCTGCCCCCCAGTTACTATGTTTCAAATGACATCGAAGAAGAACAAGGGGTGTCTGGGAGAGTTGAAAAAAAATAGGTCAAGACGACTGCCCAATGGGTTCGGGGTTTCCCATTGGGGGGCTAGATAGTGATGGTTATATAACATCGTGAATGTACCAAATGTCTCTGAATTGGACATTTTAAAATGGTTAAAATGATAAATTTTGTTATGGGTATTTTACCACAATAAAAAACAAAACAAAACAAAAAAAACATGTGATACTGAAAAAAAAAAAATCAAGAGTATATAGAAACTTTTATAGCGGTCTTGACAAAGTAGTATT